GGCCCAACCAGCAGACCACACTGACGCTCCAGGACCGCTCAGGGCTCAGGGCTCCCATTCCAGGAGGGCTCCCGTTTGGAGGAGCCTGTTGGGTTGTTTTTCTGGGAGTTCCTGTCGGAGCATATTTTGGGGGGTCCGACCAGGACTGCAGTGACGAACGGTCGAGTCCAGGAATGTCCTTGAAAACTGCTGCCCGATCAGATCGTCGAACGGTCAAAGTCGATCGGGGAATGGGTTGGTGACATGTTCTTTGGTGCTCATTGGATCTGGATTCGCGCTTTCCGGTTGTCTTCGGGTAGCATTCTTTGGTGACATGTCTTTGAATTTGGTGCTTGAACGTACTTGTCGCAGCTCTGCGATATGTTTTTCAAAGGCTCAAAGGGCCGATGTTATGTCATCAGGAAAGAGCCTAAATGCCCCTCCTATCTCATCAGGTCAAAACATACAACAAAGACACTGCTACACATACATTTATGTGCATAGTAAATGTTTAAGATTGCATGGTTTCAGGAGGTATTTGATACTAAACTTGAACCACACATGACCGAGGAGTGTGTCACCAGCTGGCCACATGGCCAAAAGTCACACTCATAACATATATATATATATATATGTTTGAGAAGAAGATAAAGAACCATGTGTGTATATGTATAAATATATGCATTTCATTAGCCCTCCGTATTTTTACATCCCGGGAAGGCCTTCGTTTTCGAGTGGTTCACTCACCTGTCCACCCGTCCATGCATCAATCACATGCAATCATCCAATCCAATTGAACCCAGCAATGTAGGCTCTTGCAATCCATGTCTTGGTGATCTTTATCAAGAGTCTACATTACCCTTGGATTCACACCACCACTATTGAAAGCACCATTGATTTCATGGGCTTGACGGAACAACCTTTGTTTTACTAAGCACTCTAGACGGCAACACCAGCTCAACCGGTTCAACCGAACTTTTTTAATGATCTTTGAAGGCTAGGGCTAGGGATTATCCGCTAGAACTTCGCTTTGTCCCAGAAAATCATGGGCTTTGGCCTTTTCTTTTCCACGCACGGAAAAAGAACCAAAACCGGAACCGTTGGAAGAGGCGATCGCTCGGGTCGGACCACAACCGTCTCGAAGAACCCACGACCGTCGCCGGTCGTCCTTCAACTTCTCCTGGCGCCGCATCTGCTTCTGCTTCCGCGCCAAGCTCCCGGCACGGGGCGCCTGGGTCACCTGCGCGGGATCGAGACGACACCGGTTGGATAGAGCAAAAAACAATATGATAGGCATATATTATTTTACTTGTATATATGTATATATATAGTATATATTATGTATATAGTCATGTAGTATATACAGTGTGTATATATATATATGTACATATATGAATTATACATATACATATATTATATACACACATGTGTGTTCATTTATTTGATGGAATACTGTTTGCAATTTTGGTTGGTGAGGTGTTGGTGATGAACATAAACAAATGTTCTGGACTTGAGCCTGCAGGTTGGATGGCAAGCGAAGCAAGCCAGAAAATCTCAAGGCTTCGTTGGAAGAAAAGATGAGGCTTCGAAATGGAAAAAAAAGAGACAGCACGTCCAACTGCCCAGCGACCCAGCAACTAGACTTTTGGGTCCGCAGTCGCTGACTCAACCGTGTCCACAGAAAAAGTGGTCTCTCATCTCCCAACCTTTGCCGAGTTCTACATCGATCACACCCAGTGAAGTTATAATACCGTAGGAACCCCCAGCCAGACCCGTGCCGAGACCGGATTTCGTTTGGTCGAAAGGTCTTCAGGTGGCCGGGTCCCTCCACCAGTCCCTCCCTCCACCCGTGCTGGTCCCCGGACCCGTCGCGTCGTTCGCGTCGAACCGCGTTCGACCGCCTCGCGGAGATCCGACTCCGACGGCGCCGTGGAACCCGAGGACGCCGAGGGCCACGAGTCCTGGGCGAACGGAGAAGGACCGGTGTCCGAGGCTCCCATTCGGAGCGCCGAATGGAAGAAGTTCGACCAATCATCCGCTTCATGTTCATGGATGTCTACATCCATGAATTGGTTCAGAAAATCTACAGGAAACCCTGGTTTTCAACCCCAAAACCATGGCTTTCCTGTAGATTCTCCCAAAATAGACATTCTGGGAGAAAAATAATGACCCCACCAAAAGAGTTAGCGCGAGAAAGGATCCTGAGTTGGAGAACCGGTCTGCTCCCGAAATCCCGAAAAGGTCTTCTCGGCTTTCTTCACGCTCATTTGGATCTATATCTCCACCCACGTAGCCTTCCAAGACCATTAAAAGAGTTCGGTTGACCTGGTGTTGTAGTCTAACATGGATGTTCTGAAAGCTCGTTATGCTTTACGGCGGAAGAGACGGCCCTGAAAGGATGACGATAAAATCCTCTACCATGGCCCAGGCGGTTTTCCATCCACGAAACCATGATATCAAGGAGTTTCTGCCTTCCTCAGTTTGGGAGTCCAGTTGTCAGTTTCTGCCTTCCTCCCACCTTTTATCGAAAAAACGACGTTGCGTATGCACTCCGAAAAGCTTGGGAGAATACCAAAACATCCAGAAAGAACTGCTATGGTGGAATTGAAGTCTCCAAAAGAACAGGTTGCTTTTTGACCATGACGGGGCCATTCTAGATCCTCTCCTGCAAATGTCTAAATGCGGGCAGTAAGTGTGTTAAGAAACTTTTATGATATAAGAAACTCGAGTCGAAGTCTCGGGGAAAGTCCATTACTGATCCTCTACGTGTTCTTGCCTTTTTGGGAGGCCCATCGGTCTGTCTCCAGGTGTGGACGAGGCGAAATGAAAAGGTGCGGATTTTCGCCCGAGGGTACGAAGAAGGCCTGGGACGTATCCCTAGCCTTCAAGAACCATTAAAGTAATGATTGACCTGATTTGTAGTCTAGAATCCTAAGTAAAACAATGGTTATGGGAAAGACCACTAAAACACTGGTTGTTGGAATCCCAGATTTTTAAGTGTGTTTTTGCATAGTCTCGAAGCCAAGCGGCATTGGTGTTCCTCTGTCGCCCCAGATCAGGGGTGAGGACATTCGGCAAGTCTGCTGCCTTAGCAAAGGACAAGCCCTAAACTGACGATGGTCTTTCGCTGATGAGCAACCGAAGCTTAGATGCACTGGCTGCTCAAAAAAAGAAACTATCTAAAACATTCTAAAACAATGGTCTCAAAATAGCAAAGGCTTCGTAACCAATCAAAAACAAAAAAGAACACTAGTCTTGCGGTCAGCTTATCCCATCAAAACCAAAACAAACATGGTGGTAACCAGTATCCAAATGTCTACATCCCAAGAGATCCCAAGAGCTCAAAAATGAGCTGCGGCCAATTCATCTCCAAAAATAGATAGAGACAATTCCGTTAAATACATGGATGGATCTTCCCTGGTTTGAGTTCACCAACAGGCCTGTGAAAGGTCACTGCATGGGACTCACCATCCGGGTCGCTGGATGGTGCCATGGAACATCGTAGATGCTCGAGACGCGACCATTTGCAGCTTCCCGGGGCACCCCCAGGGCAACCCAAGCCATCACTCCTCCCTGAAATACTAAAACGGTATTTGTGGAGAATGTAAAACAGGTCACGAGGTCCGGATGACCATTTTCAATCCGAATACCAAACAAGTGGCTTTCCATCCACGTAACCATGGGGATTTCAAGAACTCTATACTCTATCCGACTTGGAGTTCTAACTCTCCGACGGATGCGTGAGAGGTCGCGGTTTTTCTCCGTCGCCCGGGAATGTTCCCAAAAGCACCGCAAAACCGACAACGAAACAAACAAGAAGCCCATACCATGAGTGGATGTCCAACCGAAGTGGTGCCAGCCTGACCATGTTCCATGTGTATGTTCCATCGTTCAATGAATTTTAGAACACATGCGAAGAAGAAGTTCCTTTTACAGTAACCGTGTAAAATGAATGTCTGTAAAAAGGAAATGTTATGTCGTGATTCGAAGCCCTGTCCCCGATGTTGCATGACTCCATGACTAAATAACACCATGTAGACAGCTGGTTTTAGTCAAACCCTCTTGGCAAACCTGGAAATGTAAAACCATTCTGGAGACATGGTGGTTGAAATAGCATCAACTCTCTACTTCATTATATATATATATATTACACTATTACATATATATTGATATTTGTTGTGGGAGGGGGCGTTACATTTAGATATTACTGTATAGAGAGAGATGCATACACATGATAGGATCGCCACCGCTCCCGCAGCACGCCACCGCTCCCGGGGCCAGGGCACCACGGTGTGCGCCATCGGCCGTCGTTCGCGTCACCGGGCTCCGGTCGGACGGGTCGGGTGACTGTGAGGTCGAACGGAAGAAGGGGCGGTCGCGCGAGGTGAGAGGAAGTGACTCACCAGAATTAGTAGCTTATTGTTTCTAATAGCTTCTTAGTTACTACTAGTAAGGCACTTGTTACTAGTAGCGATGCACTTGTTCCTAGTTGGAGTTGGTGGTCCAAAATTGAGGACTTTCAGGTTCGAGAAGGAGAGTTCAGTCAGGAATACCACGACAACCCACAGCCACAGGTATTCCCACACTCGCCGTCGACGGGTTTGGTTTCAACGGTTTGTCTACGCCGTGCACGGACTTCTCGCGATCAGCGCCCCAGCGCGACCCGAGACAGACCCTGGCCCAGCCCTGACCATGTGAGCTGCGGTGGGTACTGGGGTGTTGGAGGGGGTTGGAGACAGTCAGAAGTCAGAGACTCACGTACGAAGAAGACGTCCTCGGCCGAGGGAAGTAGATCTATTCTTCACACGCGATGCTCAGGCCATGTCTCGGTACCATTGGCGAACCATGGGGAACCTGCGACAGGAACCTGCACTGGAACATGGGTACCTGTGGTGCAGGCAATAGGTGTCAATATCGACCCTTAGGACCTTAAGAAGCCCCTGCAAAAGTGATGGGCTGATCTTGGTTGGGCTAAGTTGGGCTGCAATACCTGCATCAACACGATCATCTGAGCCTCCTGCGAGGAAGAGCCACATGGCAGCAGCGCTTCAGTAGTTCCGGATGTCTGCGACGAGGGCACGTCAAACTCAGATGAGGAGGCGGGGCTCGAGGTGGTCCCAACAAGCAAACCAGAAAAAGAATGTACACCAAGATGTCGGATGATACCTGCATACCGTTGGTGGGATCTCACTTGGTCTTACCACTTGGTCCTCCGAACATGCGTCGCTGTTCGCTGATGGCTGGTGTGGAGACGGACCTCCGAGTCTCGAAGGATGGCTGGAAAATTGGCCCTCTCCATTTTCCAGTGGGGACTAGGTCCCTAAACGACATGAATGGCCTGTCAACCATTCGGACAGGCTGGGAAGAAAAACTACGGTAAAGCTGGACCCTTTGGCTTCAATGGGAGCTGCTTGTGGCTTCGCCAAGACCTAGCAGGAGAAGCTGCTCTGCGCCCTAGCTGCCAGCAGCATATACCGATCTTCAAAAGCCAAGCAAAAGCAAGATCGAGACCATTCCTTTCGCATGTCCCTGGACAGTGTCCCTTGTGTTCAGTCGCGAGGCATATGAGTGAACACATGCCCTCCAAGAAAAGGTCAGTCGTGATAACATCGAGACCCATGTACAACCCCCATGCCCACATGCCCAGCTCAAATTGATCTGCCAAAGCAGCGGCACTCCAACCACCAACAGTGCCTCCCAAAAGAAACAACTACCATCACATGCTTGTATAGCAGGTAGACTATTTGCACACCTCGTCCGTAACAGTCATTGCTCATTTCCACTGCTTTCCTCCCATCTCCGTCTTGCGCCTTCGTGACACACAGCCAGTTGCTGTACTTGCTGCAGCCAGACAAGCGAAGCTCGGCACGGCTGCGCCGTCCGGAGGGTTTTTGTCCCGGACACGTTCGCCGCAGGCACCGAGCCTCGCTGGACATGGACGGCGGACGGAGGACATGGGCGCTGACGGACGGAGGCATCGTCCATCCAATTCACAAGGCCGCAAGGACTCCTTTCACCTTTCACAAATCAGGCGATTCCCAAAGCAACTGCACTCTGGCCTGGAAGCTGAGAGCTGCAAGGATATGGACAGTTCCTGAGAAGTGTCGGTGCATCATTGAAACCCTCAAGTGAGGAGAGAAATGGTTCACCAAATCCCTAGAAGCTGGTCGGTTTGTGTCAATCTTGCAAGTGCCATGGTGCAGCAAAGACGGACTTGTCCTTAAAAACATTTCATTTTCTGTGGTCAACCAGGGTCCTCGTGGGTTATTTCGGTGCCGAGTCATGGGGATGGGTCGACCTTCACCTGGTAGGTCTGTAGGACTTTTCGCACCTTGCAGAGGTGACCGGTCAAAATGAGAACCTCACCGAAACCGAAACCAGAATTCGTGCCTTCTATCCCCCAAAACGCTTCGCCACAAGGCGAACCAAACCACCAGCCGGCTTCGCAGCGAGCGGCTCGCTGCGAAGCAAAGGAAAGAAGCCAAAGGATCACTGGTCAACTTTCTGAAAAGGTGAAACGGTGAAACGGATTTGGTCCAGGTGTTTACAGTTCTTGATGTCAGGCCCCTTCCGGACTCCAGAGTCACACCTTCTGACCGGGGACTGCAGAGGTCGCTCTCAGGCGGGCGGATTTGGCCGCGACTTCGAAGTCGTTTCGGGGGCCAAAACACCGAACTGGAGCACGGTGGGCCACCGAAGCAGATTTCCAAAGGAACACGTGGTCCACCACGTTTAACGGGGACCGACCGGTCGGAGCAATCCCACGTTTTCAAGCAAGCCATCCGTGACAGCTGGCTTCGCCGACAAAACTGAAGGTGGAGCAACACAAGTCTGTCCGACTGAAAGCGAAACCCTTAAAAAAGAAGAATTGAAAAGGCCGAAGAATCTCTGAATTTCAGTTTCCCCACAGAAAGCTCTTCCTTCCATCGCCCCAACCGTTTTTCCCTCCCAAAAAACTTGTCGAGACCAGCTGCGCTCGTCGGACCAACCCAAAGCGCCCGTGCCCGCGGTTCGCAGGTCTCCCGGGTCTTCGGGTCTTAGAAGCCACAGCGGCTGAGGACCGTCGGAAAGCAAACGATTTGATTTTTACAATAACAAGTGCCTTACTAGTAGTAACAAGAAGCTACTAGTAACAAGTGCTCTGTGAAATCTCCCATCTTCTTCTACCTCTGCCTGTTCAATCAACGTCCAGCACCCAGCCACCCTCTGGTCAAGATCGAAAAGAGTCTAACAAAACTAAAGTAGTCAATGTACCTGGTGATCTTCGCTTGCTCACACTGTTTGATGCTTTCTTCTTCTTCTTCTTCTTCTTCTTCTTCTTCTTCTTCTTCTTCTTCTTCTTCTTC